CGGTCACCGGTGACCTCCACGGCGCCACGGCCAAGTTGAGTGCCGGTCACCGGTGACTCCTATGGCATTCAACGTGTTATAACGTTGTGCTCTTAAGAAGTAGAAACAGCATTCATGAGGTCTGGCATACAGGCAGTGGCGTAATTACAAAAAGAAAGACGTTAATGGAGGCAGGTGGGAAGAGAAATACGCTCCCAACAGATATATACACTCTTAATGTCCTCCTCGACAGCACGTCGAGACGATATACGCCACTAACCCCTTTTATGCTACACGTACGAGCCCTCTAATGACTTGGGGATGTTTTTTCAGCCATGAGGGAGAAAACTTGTTAAAGAATGTGCGAATGAGCGAGAGAGAGACAGAGAGAGAGAGAGAGAAAGAAACACGCAGCAGTTGTTTCTAGCAGAAACCGCTTATCTTTTGCTCTGGTGTTTCGAGCATGTCGCGGTATGCCGCGGCAGCTGAGTGCTAGCGCGTTGAACAAAATTCCCTTGCTTTTGTTCAACTCTGGCGTATCGCCGTGATGATTCCGCCTACATGCACTCGTGAGATCGCCAAGGACAAAAGCGCGCTGGAAATGCTGGTTCTCGTCCGATCGCCAGAGTTAAGCAGCCCGTGTCGCGGGGAGTACTAAGATAGGTGATATCGCTCCTTGGGAATTCCGTGTTATCGTTGATTATAATCTTTTATTTACCGAATGTCCAGCTGGTACAAATTAAATAATAAAAAAAAAATCGTGAGATCTGCCAGCTATTCAAAATCCCCACTCCCGCAGCGACATTCTTCGTACGGCTAGTTTGATTTTCTGATTTCTATTCGATTTTCCTTCGATCGTGCAATGGGTACGAGCTTGTCAGACGTTACGTGTAAACGTCGTTTTTATTTTTCTTTCCTTTCAGAAAAAAGTTTCTTACTCTTGTTAATCTATTCCGTCGCTTCCAATCATTTTCGATTCTTCTTCGATTTCTTTTTCGGGGAACGCTACGTCTCTGCTAAATAGCTTGCTACGTAATGAACCTCCACGATTTATACTAGCACAGTTTCAAATGATATTTAGATAAGGATCCGTAGAAACTTTTGACCGTTTTATCAGTTGAAATATCAATCGGATTACCTTACTCGACGAGCTTACGATCTTGGAAAGGTAATTCCTTTATTAAATCGAGTAAAAGTTTTTCAAATGCTAGAGCAGCACGGTATCATGAAAATACACGTACACGTAAAGAAATTTCTTTCCAGTTCGTTGTTTATTTGATCGTATATTTTCGTCTACTAACGCAAGAAGCAAAAAGTTTGCAATAGGAAAAGAAAGGTTTCTCCTTCCGAAAAAACTGTCAAAACTTACCTGAACGCCACCTACTCCAACTATGAAGAGCAGTTGAACCATAAAAAGAGCTGCCAAGAGATTCATAAGGATCGTACCCGCCAGGCTTCTTAAGTCCGAGAATAGGCTGTAACATAACGAATGTTCTGACTTCCATCTCTTCTAGAAATCAGATAACTCCGTATAACTAACTTCGAAGTAGCGCTTTTCAGCAGCTTAAATTTAATTATACACTGTAATGTTAAAAATGTAAATCCGAAAGAAAATATTTTCCTTGTTTATTCCTTGAAAATTCCTTCTTTATTCAGAATACACATATATAATATATATTTTCTTGGGCAATAAACGTCATATGTATATATAAAAAAAAAACACTAATTTGGAAGAAAAATCGGTAGAGTTCCAGCACGAAGACGACAAATGGTATGCAACGCGCGAAACCAAATAAAAGATACTCGTACCGAATAGTACGCGGTAGGATATCGTTGCATTCTCACGTACAGACAATTTGCATTGCTGTATGGAGAAGAGTAGCAGACAGAAGAATACAAAATAAAATTTACGTCGTGATTCGCGTCAAAGGAGAACTGCCTCCTTTTCTTCGTCTCTCTGTTTCAGTAATATTTTATTCGACTGCTAGATGAGAAAGGAAATATTCGCACGAAGGAAAAATTACAAATTGTTCGGAATGAAAATTCTAGGAATTATTTATGGCCTTGCGCGAACGATACGTGTTGAAAGGTATCGCGCGATACAGATGGTACAAGGAAACAGACAAAGGGTCCGCACGAGTGGCTTCGCGAGCAATCCGTCGGCTGTGAATAATTCATAAATCAAACAAGCTGGTCGAGGTTGGTCAAGGTGAAACTGGCCTCGCTGCTTATCTGTGTTTCGTCCCCTTTTTATTTTCTAGAACGACCAAACCGTCGGCGTGCGACGAAATGGAACACCGCGTTAATAGTTTCTGAAATATTATTATTTCTTTCTTAGTAGAAACGTAAGATGATACGTCCAAAGATGGCGAGTTAAAACATACACGTAATAGCGATGTTGCACGCTATTGGTCATTTTGAAAGAAATTCTCACGATTGCTTTCAAGCGTGCGGCTACTTGCGTTACCGTCGGAAAGCGCAGTAACGAAAATCTTAGAAACGGTCGTACTTTCTTCGAGTGGTACGTCTGAAATTAGATTTCTGCTAAACTGAAAAGTTTCGACGCAGATCTTGTTCCCGATATATCAACGGAGACTGCAGCAAATAAATAATACCCGGCGTCATGCGTTGTATCGATTTCATACGTGCGCGAGAAATAAAGTAACGCGAGTGGTTTCCAAGATTTTAATATACGTTACGTGCAAAGTTTGGTGTTTGTGAATGTTCGTTCGTGAAAGAAAGGGAAAGTAACGAAATTGAATTCTAGAGGCAGAGGATGAAGTAAAAAGGAAACAACGGAGCTTATTTCAGAAGAAAGTTTATCGGAAACTAGAAATACGGTTTCCCTCTGCTTCACTCAAATTTGGAATCAAACCGATCCTATCTGACCAAGATTTTTTTTATTGAATTTCCGATTCGAATCTTGAGAGCTTCCTGCTTTAAAAAATTTCCATCGTTTTCTTTAGTTACAGTTCGAAAGAATTTTTGTTCAAATTGTTGTATTTAACGGTCACCGATCCAAAATTATTTGCATCTTCTGCGAGCTTTTGCTTTTCAACGCAAATACTGGCTTTGCTAGATGCTCGCGCAACCGCTAAAATGAAAGCTCTGTTTCATTTTCTATTTCGATGACCACGATACTCCGCTCAAAGGGTAAACTATGTAACTGCAATGAGAGCGAGAGCGAGAAAAGAGAGAGAGAGGGGGAGGGATATAAAGAGCGAAAACGAAGCAAAAGAAAAGGAGAGATAAAAGGAGAAAATAGAAATACGCGGTTTACCGTCTCTATGCGCCGATAAGCAACGAACCGCGCACTTTATTAAAATTCCTTCGATACGAAAGTCATGTATACCTGCAATTCGAATTGATATCGAGTTTCACGATATTTCTAGCGACCGCGACTAGTCGGATTTCGCAAACAGATCGCGTTTCGAAATAACGTACGGAAAGGAAAATATCCCACGAGCGAATTTTCGACAAATATACTGTACGTATACCGAGCTGATGCTCGGATCCTCGTCGCAACGAACAAAGTATGTATTCTGTCGCATCTCGTTTTCCATTTGCAAGATGTACTTAGCGAGAAATTACATATATATATTCGATATATATATATCGAATCGAGAATCGATTTTCTAAATTACCGTCCTTCTCTCGTGATCTAACCTATTCAGTAAAATGGCTGCCGGTGAAACAAAGCAAAAGTAAATATGTCGATTAGCAGGTAGTTTGAATTCTATAGAACTTACACCTACCCTCCTTGTGTTGACAATTCCAGTGGAAAAATGTAATTCACTTCGTCTTCTGGTTTTATTATAAATTCTACACATTCTATTCTTTCACCTTTTGTGTTTTCGTTCATGGAGGATAACCTTCAACGGCATGGCGTAGAGAAAATCGATTTGTAATAACCTAAATCCTTGAGGTAATTAAGACGATCGATTCTGGAAAATCGAGTTTATTTTGGCTATAAATTGAATTATATACAGCAACAATTCATATTAAATCTATTAGAAATTTGGTGTGTTCTACCAACCAAAAGATGGATACTCCTACGCGTGGCGAAGTGTCTGAAAGCAGTAAGAATCGGGTAAGGGTTTGCGACTGCAGAAATCTTTAAATTCTTGCTAGTCGAGGGGTTGGTCTTTCTAAAATCCTATCGACGACTTCTCATTCGACCCGTGAATAATTCATCCTGAGCCGAACTTCCAATGGTAACCCAGTGGGGGGAGGAATCATGGATGAAATCGAAGGAAAGGATTAACCTGCTGTTTTTTTGTTCGATTTTGCGAGAGAAATTCGCCTCTCTATGTACAAAACGACTACGAGAACGAATATAAAGTAGTTGCCTGAATATCGTGCATTTTTAATTTACCGTTTGAAACATTAAATTCTCTTCGTTAATCGACAGCGATGCTACTCGTGCTTCAACTCGTTACTGCGAGGTAATTGTATCGAAGCTTTTGTTCGTTTACTACATCGTTAGGGTCGGTTTGAAAGATGGTGGAAGGAAAAGGAAAGGTGATTAAACTTCGAAGCTTTGTCAAGTTCGATCGATTTATCGATCGGTATGTCAGAAGTCGGCCAAGCAGAGCACTTCCATTAAATTTCGTTTCCTCTTTCTTTTCCAGCTATTCATCCGGATGATAAAGTTTTTAAGCGTTCCGAAAGCCTTGAAATACTAGCGGTGAAAAAAGGGATTGATCGTTCGAGATTTATGAATCGCGTCCCCCCGAGACTACTTTCAACTTCGATGAGACGAACAATCGTAATATAAGTCGTTAACAAGTCGAGCACAAGACCGAAGAAGATTGGTTGCAAGAGAAACGTTATCTTGTTTTTCATTGCTTAAAGGTTTCGAAGAAAAGGAATAATTAGTTTTCGGTCATTCTGTACAGAAGTATAGAGTATTGAAAGGGCAAAGAAAATTACATTGGCTGATTGCACGCGATTCGAGCGGTGTAGCAAAGTTTTTGCGGTCAGAGACTCGGTTGAAATTGATTTGAGGTCGAATCTCACTATATCTAAAGTTTGTCGCTCGAAAAGCACACAAGCTCGAAGTTCAGCGGCATCGACAGACCTCTGTTGCTCTATTTACATCTACAAAGTTTTAGAGTTGCCGGTTCAACAGTAGCCAACCGATTTATCAATATTCGATACAAATCGGAGATGCTGAATTGCGTTAAGGCCTCGACCAAATCGACTGGCCATTTCGGGAATCAAAATTTCGATCGATAAAAACAAACAAAAAATTTTGTCTAAAGCTTATGCAAATTGCTGAAATTTATTATCAAATTACCATTTAATAAAAGTTTCATTTCACCAAGAACAGACATCAAGTGACCAACAAGATTATGTGATTTAATATGTTATACTCATTTTTAGGAGGATTTTTGGAAAGTAAGTCAATAGCCCAGTGACGGTTGAAAAACAATCTAAGCCATTCTATTGATATAGAAAATGAAGAAAATTGAGTCAAACGAGACAGACGATAGAATGATATCACGTTGCATAATTAGTATCATGAAGTAAATCTTATGTTAAAATAAACAAACCAGACAAATTTCAAGTAATTTATATTTTATTTCAATCCTTGATATCCCACTTATTCTTAAGAAATGTGTAAATAGAAATTTCAACTGTGGCAGCTTCAACGTTACATTTCACGTTTTCTTTTTCTTTCTTTCATTTCTTTTCGTTTCTTTTGTTCTCATTTTCTGTGAAATCTGATAGTTCTTTTTAATTGCCCAACTTTTTGTCTGCTCGGAATTGCACCGACAAAGGATGAAAAGAATTTATGAAAATCCGTAGAAATTCAGAGGACCTGCCCATCTTAATCCTCTGTCGCGTTTGAAACAGTCACCATCTTTGTTGTCTCGTTATCATAACCTCTCAGGGCTATACACGGCTCTTCAGCAAAATGGTTTGCCGTTAAACCGAAGAGAAGATATACAATGAAATATGCATAGCACTTTGCACGAGGAAAGAAAAAAGCATGGAGAACGAGGTGCAATTACGATTTCTTAAAAATGTAGGACAGGACTGTCCTTTATCAGGATAGAAGTTTGCTCGGACAATAGAGCCACGTTGAATTCTATCCTACCTTGGTCTCTGTACCCGTCTATTCACCGAGGATACCTACCGTGGTAATTAACAGTCACAAAAAACGTGGCGAACAGGACTAATTTATTTTTTAGAATGCAACGAATTTCAGCACTCCCCTTCCGACTAATCCAACTGTAGCGGCACTCGAGAACAAAACTTTCCAACGGTTTCGTCGGTACAAAGTATATCACCGAAGCGTACGGCTGGCAGTCCTAATGCGCCATCGATATTTCTACGGTCCTTCGGTCGAATATTTCGAAGAAGGCAACATGGCAACGGTCGCGGACGTCTAACGAACGCGTGCGTAGTGGGGATATTGGGGGGGGGGGCGATAAAAACAAACGAATCGGATTAAGAAAACAGTCGAGTTGTAACCGAGAAGCGAGAAATGTCAGTTGGAATCGAGAATTGTACGAAAACAGTCGAAAACGAGGATTGTTAATAAATATACTGTTGAACACTAAACGGAAAGAGGTGAACGTATTTGTGGCACATAAAGACATCGTGTCTGTAAAATCAAAAGTGTTCGTAATGGCTAACCACAACGAGAAAAGGCGCGCAACGAACGCCACAGACCGCGGAGACATAACCTTTTGTTGACAATTTCTACGAAAAATTCGATGCTCCATGGTACGAAGCTGTTTTATTGTCTCTCATATAATGATCGCGTAACGCGTAACTCTTTTCTTTCCGCTCGAAAGCTGGATGAATTGAAAGAATAAAAAATTTATTAAAATTCCAACGATTTGGATCGCAACAAAAGGCAAAAATACGTAACCTGCGTAGATCGTTTTCGATGCAAACGCAATTTCGATTCCAGCAATTTCCCAAGCTATCCAACCTGGATCATAGCCACTGGAAAAATATATTTACCATAAACTACACATCTGCAATGTAGATAAGGGGACAAGCATAGAAAATCCCTCGTTATTTTACAAAATAACCTTACCTTCCTTTATACGATATATGCTAACGATGAAGGATAAAAACTGACAAGTCGATTATGCGAGATGTTCAATTTAAAAAGAAATTTTTGGTATTAAAAAGTAACCGATTATTAAGGTTAATTTTTACTTGTACCTCTGTTCAAATTTTTCGATGAATGTGGCGTAGAACATGGTGATAGAACAAGTTAGAATTTTTTTCATTGATCACCTCTCGTTTTATCCGCTTACACGATATACGTATTTTCTAATTCCCCGGTCAATCGTTGCAAAGAGAGTTTTTTCGATTGGCGAAGTTGCAAAATGTTCGTCGCTGTATAAACTAATATCGTATCGAATTTCCTAATCGCCATAAACATTATCATCGTCAACATTCTTTTGCCATCTCGTATACCGTTTGATTTCAAATTCGTATAGTAAAGGATTTTCGTCTGCTTGCTTTTGCTCGACAACTACTACTATGCTACAAATACCATCTACTTTGAGAAACTTTGATTGTGCGCGAAAAAGGGGAGTAAACGAGAGAAGCACGAACTCGGTAAGCTGCGTAACGTTTGAAAAGAGCACGTTGGTGAAAAGCTGATTCACGGAAAAGAGCAATCGTAGGTTGCGGAATATCGGGTTTGAGGAAAAAGCCCGACGTTTTCCACTTGTCGTACGTGACCGCGTTGATAAGCGGACAAAGAGTGCAATTAACCAGGCATAGTCGGAATAACGATAAGCCGTCGGAAGCGGTTCTCGAAAGAGCCGAAGAAGGTGCGAACGAGCGAACCACGCGAAAGGAACGGTCATAAAGTAACAACGTGACACGACAGCGAAACGCATAAAAAGGAGAGTAAAGTGACCGCGCTTGCTTGAATTTAGAACGAGTTTAGAACGAGTCGGAAAGCTTGCAGTTATTTATATTTCTCCACTTCTCGGTCCTTGCTGATTTCATCGGATGCATCACGATGCGAATCGTTTCTCTGGCTCACCTTGTCTACCCTCCATTAAAATGATTATTATTATACGATATTATTTTTATATTATTTTATATATTATACGATATTATTATTTAACGAGTTACGACTTGTTTGAAATACAATTTATATATTTTGGTTCAATTTTTCAGTGTGATTCGGTAAACTAAAACAAAATAAATATGGAGAATTCCTATAAAAATATACACGCGTCGAGATACAAACTGAACGAAAATTTGTATATTGTACGAGACGTGAATTTAGGATGTCCAAAATGGCGGTGCACGAAAGTATTCCGTTTCTGTTCCAACATATCCGATCGAAAGCGCGCCAACGCAGAAATTACAGAGCTAATCGTGTGAAATGTTGGCACATGGTGTCGTTCCGGAATCGTTACTAATCGTACCACCCAGAAAATTAGAACGGCTCCGCTAATTCACCAAGGAATTCCTCTTCTCAGCGTACCTATACCATCCTTCCCTTCTATAGATACTATAATACTTCGTTCAGTAATTGAATCGCGTGACACGCATCGTTTACGTCCACGGCGAATAAAATTACGGAATACCCTCGATCGTATCAAATAATTGGGTACCGCGTCGGATTGCCAATTTCTCTCTCGGATAATGAATCCTCTTTTTCATCTGCTTTTCGACACTTTGTGCTTTCTCGTTCATAGCTATATCTTATGGGTACTAACGTGGCATCTTTTTATTCGAATTATCGATCGAAGCTATCTTTCTCGAGGGAATATTGTGACTAATCGGCCATTTTTCACATACGTTCTCAATTAGAGTTAAGCATTTTTCAAATTGTTTCGAACAAATATTTATCGAAAATAATTATCCGAATAAATTTATATTAGTCGAATATTTTATTTGAGTAATAATTATTTGTTATTCGAATAATGATTGCAGAAATATTTGAAAAATAATACGAATAATTGTTCGTCTCTGTTTAATTCTGTACAGGCATGTGCGAATACTAGTACATTTCTTACTATTAATTTGCCGGATGATTAATTAGTCAAGAAAAGATAAATTTCCTAACCTGACATTGAGACATATTAATTATAAAAGTAAATGCTACAACAGTTGGACAATGAATCTTGAAAATATCCTTCATCTATGCATAATAATGATTTATACATAATATATTAAAGATTCCAAGGGATAAAAGGAAGATAGAAAGAATAATGGAAGAGAAAGATGAAGAAGAAATGGCGAAAGAAACAGCACAGATTAAATGGTGCAATAAGCACGCGATTAGCAAAAGGAGTGGCTGGTGGAAATAATTTTAGAATAACACGAATTTCTAGCAGAGACTCTTAGTACAGTGACAAGTAGTTAGTATAGCGTAAGAATAAAGTATGAAAAGATGCGTGCGAAGGTAGGATAACAAAGTGTGGTTAGAAAAATTGTAACTATCATTTTTTTTCCGGGAGGTGAAAATCAAATAAATTGTTATCATTGTTTATTAATTTAATGTATGATGTTGTTGAGGTTAACTGATAGAGGAACGAGTGGATGAATTTATTATTAGAAAAATATATTGAAGTAAGTATAAGTACAGGTACAGTGTATGAGGTGAAAATCAAATAAATTGTTATCGTTATTTATTAATTTAATGTGTGATATTGTCGAGGTTAAGTGATAGAGAAACGATTGGATGAATTTGTAATAGAAAAATATATTGAAATAAGTATAAGTACAAGTATAGTGTATGAGATCAAATTCAAGTAAATTTGTGTAAGTACAGGTATAGTGTATGAGGTGAAAATCTAATAAACTGTTATCATTATTTATTAATTTAATGTATGATGTTGTTGAGGTTAAATGATAGAGAAACGAGTGGATGAATTTATTATTAGAAAAATATATTGAAGTAAGTATAGCTATATGTGTAAGTACAGGTATAGTGTATGAGGTGAAAATCTAATAAACTGTTATCATTATTTATTAATTTAATGTATGATGTTGTTGAGGTTGTTTATTAATTTAATGTGTGATATTGTAGAGGTTAACTGATAGAGGAACGAGTGGATGAATTTATTATTAGAAAAATATATTGAAATAAATAAAGTTATACGTGTAAGTACAGGTATAGTGTATGAGGTGAACATCAAATAAACTGTTATCATTATTTATTAATTTCATGTATGATATTGTTGAGGTTAACTAATAGCGGAACGAGTGGATGAATTTGTAATAGAAAAATATATTGAAGTAAGTATAAGTACAGGTATTTGTGTATGAGGTGAAAATCAAATAAATTGTTATCATTATTTATTAATTTAATATATAATATTGTTGAGGTTAGCTGATAGAGGAACGAGTGGATGAATTTGTAATAGAAAAATATGTTGAAATAAATAAAGGTATAAATATAAGTATAATGTATGCTGATCCATAACCTCACTCTTTCAGTGTTACAATACAATAGAATATGATAGGGAGCACGTTCATATATTTCTAGCAAAGGACATTACGAAAAGTTAACCTTGTAGCTGTCGCTGAAGGCTACAAGAAACAGCAATAGAAATCTACTTATAGCTCTTTTGTTTGTAGAATTTGTAACCCAAAACAAAATTAATATTCAAGGGTACAATAATATGCACCTCTCCTTCTTCAGAATATCTTTTGTTTCACTAAATTGTATCCTCTTTGTAACAGCGGTGTCCAGGTCACGGATATACAAAAGAAAAGGTGTAGAGTTTCTCTTAAAGTAATTACTTCAACAAATATTATCTGAATAAATTCTCATCTGAATAAGTTATTCGATTCAATTTTCATACAGATAAATTCTTACACAAATAATTCCTCATTCAAATAAATATTTATTCAATTGGATATCTATACATTAGTGATGAACAAAATTTTATTTCTTATATTTATTCATTATAAATTATACGAATAAAATTTTGCATTGTTTTGAATAAGGTTATCGAATTCGCGCCAACTTCACTCATATCGGTTATATTAAAACGTATTTAGCATCTCGTTCTACAATATATATAGTTTATGTATGGCGACTAATTTGATCGTTTCGATGCTCAAGCGACACTCCCCACTTATAATTAAAGGCTTGAACCGAACGCTCAATAATAACGGCTGTGAAACCACTTGTAGCGCGTCGTTTTCGCAATATGGATTTATGCCGCAATAAAATAGAATTTACTTTTGCAACTCGTTATCACGCGAGAAAAAGGCGGATGGATAAAGAAACATGTATTTATACGGTTCGAGGTTTTGCACCATTGAAACATATTTTTCACTCTATTCATCGCGTTTCACACCCCATACTCGTTTATGTCGATCGAAGGTCTCGTGCGCTCGTTTCGACTGCGTCACGCTGAAACAATTTATTGCTTTTATGAAAATAATGAGCACTACCAAGGTACACTTTTAACGCGCGTTTCTTTAAAACCATAGCCCATGTAATTCATTTAGAGCAGTAACATATTATTCGCACAAATTCTATTCTTAATCTGCCACAGTTTCGTGCTGCTCTGCTATAATGTCACCGTAGCTACGATGAAATTAAAAAAAAAAAAAAAAAAAGAAAGGATCTCCCGGAAAATAGTTTAATAATAAAAAAAATCATGTGACGAGGTCGATGTCTGGGGTAAAAAATCATTTCTACCCCGAATGAGAAATAAATAAATAATATTTTACGCAACAGAAAGAAATTCTGTAATTTTACTGAAGATAAAACGCGATAGTTGAAGAAATATTTTGAATAAAATTTTTAATCAAATTTGAATAATTCGCATGTAACCAATCGCAATCCCTCTCTCTCAATTTTTGAAGATTCTGTTTTACGATTTTATTTGTAATATTCTTCGAAAATTTTGCAATTATTTCCTTACGCCTCAAAGTTATCGTAGATTTATCGATGCGATTCCTAACCTAAAAAAGTATTTGATAATCCACGGTCTTTAAGAAAATTCGAGATTTCCTTGAAGCTGAGAGTGACGCCTACGATCGTGAATTTAATAAAATCGATCTACCCAAGATTGAAAGAACCAGAATAATCGTGGCATTCTGGAATTCTCCGGTTTTCTCTTATATTTTCTGCTGTCGATGCCGTCTTTGCCGGATATTGCGAGTCCACGGTTGGCCAGCCATTGAGGTTGAAGGACGTTCCACGTACATCGAAATGGACAGCTTTTCAAGCAACCAAATCTTAGAACCCTTCGCAAATTCCCGACCACCGAAAAGCATACAATTTTTTTTATCGCTGTGTTCGGTTCAATAAAATCCGTCACGAGTTTCTTCTTTCTGTTGGTTTCAAATGTACCTTGTACAAAATTGAACGAAACTAAGCATACATTATGGAGTAACGTGGAAAAAAGAAAAGATAACAAGAAACTAGAACTTGAGCATGAAGATATTAATATAAGAAAGGATCTCGTTGTTCGTGTCTGAAATGAATTAATAAAGCGAACGTGAAAAATAATATACAGAACTTCGAAACTTCAACTCTCCTCTGGCACAGATAACACAGTTAGGTTTCGAGTTCACTCACACATTTTAGGATTAGTGAAACAAGATATCTTTCTATTTTGAAGTTTCAAATTTCTTTCTCGCTACAGAACCTTCGTTAAAACAATACATTCTATAGTTTAGGAATCGATTTGCAATTGATAGTGTGTGTAGTTATTTATTTATTTTACTCGAACGTTTAATTGTGATGTATTGGGTTGGCAATACCACCTATTGACAAAATTCGCAATCACTTAGTTGCCAACCCAATAGTTATCGATCAGATTCCTATAACTTGAGCATAAAAGCTGCTCTGGAAATTGAAGTATGTCGACAATTCGATCTATGTATACACGTACGATATAAATCGAAAGACAGGGACGTGGTAAGTTGTTGGACCTGTTCACGACCGACCTGTATCATTCTCAGCCAATATGGCGAAACTTCTTGTATTAACGAGTTCTTCGGTTCCATTCCGCCCCACAAAATTGCCAATAATCGAAGTCGCTCGTTATCTAACTATTTTCTCGTAACTATTTTCTAACGACGAAAAAATTCCTTCTACTTTGAAATTTTCTTTATTACGCTGGTAGTTGGTGAAAAAAGAATAAAAAGAAAACGACTAAACCCAAATAATTTGACGTAAACGAGATCGAAGCAGTTTCAAGTTATTGACAACTTCAGAGGAACGAAATGCAATTATTGCTGCGAATCAGACGTAATTTTATCGAGTCACGATGTTTTTTTAACACTTTACAAATTCTTAATTGCTGTGGATACTTCAACGCAAGATTCGCAGATATTATGTTATTGGTTGGCAACTAAGTGATTGCGGGTTTTATCATTAGGTGGTATTGACAAAATCCGCAATCACTTAGTTGCCAAATAATATCGTTCTTCTGGTCTTTTCTATGAATCGAAGAATATTTATCTGGCGCTTCGACGCTCAATAAGTTCGTTTTATGTAATTTTAATGGTAAAATTTCGTCAGGAAATTTTCGTAAAACAGACGATATTCTGCGAATAGCAGTGTATATCTTATCCGGTCTCTTTATTCACTCGGAGAATTGTTAAAGATTTTTCTTTTATACTCTTAAACTCGTAGTTTTCTTAATTTCTTTCGTGCCTTCACGCCAGTTGACAGTCGTATTCTTAATAAATGTGGATAGAATGCTTGTGATAGCGGGAATTTAACAGAATAAATTTTAATTGAAAAGCAGCTAAACCGCATATTATCATCAATAGATCTTTCATACAAGCTGCTACATTCGCCAGCTATTCTCGCTCGTTATCGCCGTATTTCTACGCTTCACAAATGAACGTGTAGCAGCAAAATGGATTTGGTGAAACGGCACTGAGAACGGCAGTTTGCATTCACATCGCGAAAAGTTTGTTTCGTAACATTCACGCGGGTGAAGGCGTGACAATGAGACGTTTCTCCTATAGCTGCGATTATGAACCATCCTACCAACTTTATTTTCAGCCAGGAAGATACTCTCGTTATCCGATCAATGTTTTCCAAAAATTTATATTCATCTCACAGATACCATACATATTTACGCAATTACCTCTGAATATTGAATGCTAAAACGCGAATCTATAATCTTCCCCAATTTTGTTAATAATATTAAAATAATTTTATTCATATTTATAAAAGTATCAATTTTTCTGACGCATGTAAGAGACGGTACTAATACATAAGTACATACATATCGTGGACGAATAACCTAAAAGATATCAGGCGAACCATAAACGATGTCGCGAGAAAGCCGAAGTACCGACAGCCTATGTGTCGTCGGTCCTTCAATCGAATATTTACGCGGAGGAAAGACCTACGTGACTCTGGCCACGAACGGTTGCGGATTCGTGCGTGGTGGGGCTATGAGAAAAAACAGAGATGCTAAGGGAGAAAGACGAAATAACAGTCAGTGTGAGTTGAGAAGTCAGAGAGCGCGAATTGCGTTGTCGAGAGTGTTGCTAGTGTCACTTAAAATTCGTGATAAAAAAAATCGATTTGCAATTGCTACTGTGTGTAGTTATTTATTTTACTCGAACATTTAATTGTGATGTATTGGGTTGGCAACTAAGTGACCAATTTGACTGTCCTTTAATATTTTTATATGCTTTTGTTCACCAAAGTGGTTAAGTTCAATATTACAATGAAGTAGCGAAGTTACAAAGTGTTAAAATAGTTGTTCAAATCACAGCCAAGACTAGTCTCGTGGTCGAATGCTCGCAGTTTTTATATGTTGAGTTTGTAGGAGTTGAGGGGCAAAGAGAGGATCCTGAGTGCCCTACGTAATAGGGAAAATTTAGTGTTGGGCCATATGCGAAAGTCAGGTCAAAATCAACGATTCATTGTCAGGTAGTGTGGAATGACGTGAACTTGGCTATGGTCGCTGTCACATACCCCCTTCCTTAGATTGTTTTTGGTTCTCCAAAGTTAACGTTTTTTCTGCTGTTGTTGATCCTCGTTCTCGTCTTGTTCCGATCTGGTTTACTCGTGGAGATGGTAGGTTTCTTTGGTTGGTTAATTGAAAATGTTGACATTGCGGTGCAACGTGTGCCAATTTACCACAATTGAAACATTTTACTTGTTGTCGCTCAGTAAATGGTACGTTTCGTTTTAGAAAATGGTGAAATATTTTTGTTGATTGGATTATTACGTGTGGCAGGTAATGATCGGTTGCTTGTCTGCATCGTATCTGTCCTTCTCCATTCCTTCTGTTTTCGTCGGTATCTTTCAATGTCGACGGCTTTCTTCTCTGTTTCGCTCAATGAATATAGTTCGCTTGCTAACAGTGTGCGTTCTATATCGCGTCGAAGTCCTCTTAAATAAATTCGACTTACTTTTCTCATGGTGGC